GTATTTTCAAGGTAACACATAGTTCAGCATTACCTATAGTATCCTATGAAAAATATTTAATGAAATAAAAGTTTAGTAATGAATTTCATTTTGGAATCCCTGCATACGTTATCTCCCTCTTTTGAGCTCAAAATTCATTAAAGGATATAAGAAAATTTGGTATTAGGAGTCTACATAAATGAAACCCTAAATTTATTAAATTGAGTTATCTACAAAATTCTTTTCCCTATTCTAATACCTTGTACAGAGAGCTCAGGTAGCGTAGTCTGTAGGGAGCTGAGCTGTCAATTCAAAAGAAAACACTTCTTGAAAGGTTACAGCGGCCAGCACTCCTTGGGAGAAAGAGAGAATCCCCTCTTATTTAATTTAAAGACTCTCAAAAACCCAGTGGTGGGTTAGCAATAAGTCAGTTCTGACGCAATGTAAATTAATTTTAGAGTAATAGCTATGAAAAATATAAGGTTCACCTGCTATTCCCCAAGAATTCTTATTTTCTCTTTCTGAACTTTTCAATATGTTGGTCACAGAGTCCCTGTGAGTCGTAGTTTACAAAACAGCCCCGGAATACAACAAATGACATTTCATGTGCTTACTATTGGTCGTTTGTACATCTTTACTGGAGAAATATGTACTTAAATCCTTTGCTTATATTTTCTACTTATGTTTAGGTGACATAGCCCTCATTTTGAAAATACTGTATTGTGACAGCAGTATGGGGCAAAAGGAAGCACAGAGATCCTAAGGTCACAAAATGACAGTCATTGAGCAGAAGCTTGGGACAAAAGCTTTCCGAGTACTGCCTCAGATAAAAACCTTTCCCTGAAGCTGGTACATGGGATTTAGACTTAAATTCTCCTAGATATGAGACAGGAATTAGCGTGAGAGACCAGCAGCAGTTCAACACACAAGACATCACAGAAGTAGTTGTGGCCTAAGCCATCAAATCAAGGGGTGGTTAGGGGAATGGAGGTGCTTGATTGGGTAGAAGGGAGTGCAAGGGATGCTGATGTAACAAAGAAAGGGAAGGGACAAGATAACATATCGGGGTGTCCACACGTAGACGAACAGAAAGGGCAACCTAGGGAGAACTGTCAAGCATGGAAATACAAAGGAAGAGGAACAGTTGTAAGCAGACACTAGTAATTGGAACATGGAATGTGAGAACCATGAATGTAGGAAAATTA